GCTCCGTCCCCGCAGGGCGAGGTCTGCGCCATGATCAACAAGAAGTACCACGAGTTCCTGCCCAGCGTGCAGAGCGCCGAGGACTTGGTGTCGCAGGTGGACGGGCTGTGCAGCAACATCGACCTGCTCAGGGCGGGGATCGAAACCGAGGTGAGACACGAGGCGACCCGCGGCCCCCCCGGCCTCGCCCCGCACCTGCAGGGCCCGTCCCGGTGCGGCGCGGGGGGGGCTGAGGAGGGGCCCGGGGTGATGTCACCCCTCAGACGCCCGGAGGTGACACATGCTGCGGAGGTGTGTCGCGTCGGGGCGGTAAGGGGCGGTCAGTGAGGGATCGGCGGTGGTTCCCTCCCTGTGGGGCAGCTGGGAAGAGCCAGGCGGCTCCTCCAGGAGAGAGGAAACAGCCTCGAGTATCAGGGTGAGGTGTGACACGCGCTGGAGCCTAAATTGCCTTACACCGCCTTTACAAAACCCTGTACCATGTTGAGAAGCCAGTTTAGAAGCATTTCCAATGCGTGTAAGGATCTTCCTAGCAAGGAGAAAAATGAATGGAGCCTTTTTCCACCTCACCAGTTTATTCTAGCACAGAAATACTTTAAATCTCACGTTGTTATGGCTTTTAAGAGGAAATGTGTCTGATTAACATTTGCTTGCTGTAAATGAACTGAAAAAGTTTGTTGCTTTAGGTTCAGCGAGATCTAAATGTGGCTGTTGCCGAATTTACTGAATTGAAGCAGCAGTTGGAGCGGGACACGCTGGTTCTGAGTATTCTGAAAAAGCTGCAGGAGGTGAGGAAGGGAGGTGGAGCAGTGGCTTGAAGTCATCCTCTCTGCCTCCCAGCCTATGGAATTATTCTGGGCTTCGCTTTTGAATAACTGTCTGTAGCTGCCCAGCCTCTAGCTGTGTTGTTTAAAAAATTGTAGTCTAATCGCAGCTATAGAGTGACCCGTGCATCTCTTTGGTTGTTGCAGTTTGATACAGCTATGAAAGAGTACAACAGTGCATTGCTGGAAAAGAAGTATGTTGTAGCAGCTCAGCAACTGGAAAAGGTAATAATGACTTCTGGAGCGTGTGACAGTGTCCTTCGTGTATTTCCAAGATTCTTTTCATTAGCAGGGGCAGCAGTTACCCATTGTTTTGTGTTTGGTCTTTACCACCAGGCACGAAGCTGCCTGAAAATGCTGGAGTCCCGCCAGGGCTTTGAGCTGAAGATCCTGAAAGCTCTAGGCACAGAGCTCACGGTGCAGACACAGAACACGCTCTACCATCTAGGAGAGGAATGGCAGAAACTGACTGTGTGGAAGCTTCCTCCTTCAAAAGGTACTCGCCACTCTAGCTGGCGTCACTGGTTTTGCTTCGCTATTGGAAAGGCCTGGTTCCAAGCACCTACAAGAGGAGCAATACAGTAATGCTGTTGAGCTGAGGTTGGTTTGAGGAGCTCTTTCTGCTGTTTGCGTAACTTGGTGAATGGGAGGGACGAGTGCTCTTTGGACATCGCTCCACTCCTGGAGTATTTAGGTGCTACCACAATCCGGTGTAGTCAGAAGATTTTAAACAGAGTCTTGAAGGTTTGTCTGCCTCGTGTGTGGTATTTCTTAGAAAATGTTGAAGCAGAGATCAGAACAGTTACCAGCCTCAGAGTAGTTTGAAACACAAGAAAAGGGACGTTCCCTTGCAGAGTTTCTGCTCCTGAGGAAGTCAGCTGGGCCAAAATTTCAGGTTACTCATTACTGAATACCAGATTCAGCACAGTAGCTGGAAGGATTTTCTGAAATTCTTGTTCAGCCTGAACATGTCTCCCCACTAGATTAGTTTTAAGGATACTTTTACCTTCTCTGGTAGGTTTTCGGGCTGCCACTTTATTTGCAGGCAGCCAACTGCAAGAACTGCCTGGGAGTCTGTATATTGCTGTCTTCAGTGAAACACAAACTCTTCCTTTGGAAAAAGAAAAACCTTTTCCTTTGGATCTGACTTGAAATGGGGAGAAGAGTGGAAAGAGAGCCATTTGCCACTGAATGTCACTAAATTGCAAGGTGACTGAAATGGCAGGTCCGGATCATTGTAAGAGACAGATTCTCGTGCCCTGCACCGTAACACAAGGAGCTCTGCAGCGTCTTCTGACGCTCTTCTGCAAGAGCTGTGTTTTGTGGAGATGGGGAGAGGTAGAACGTGGCTTTAGCTGCTGCCCGAGGAACGCAGTAGCCTCTCAGGCCTGTGTATCTCAGACCACGCTATGACGGAGAGATGGTTCTTCTTTTTTCTTTAGAAAGCAGCAGCCTGGAGTCAGTGATGAACTCAGAATTGCACTTGCACACGGTGCCGTCAAAAGAGGAGGAGATTGCTGGGCCACCCGTTGCTTCTGTGCTGCAGGCATTTGCCGTCCTAGGAGAACTGCACACCAAGCTTAAAATTTTTGGTAAGACAGACCGTGGGTCCGGATAAACTCAGCTGTAGCAGCCCGAGTGTGTATAAGTTCAGTCTTGGTTTAAGATGGATGTCGAGATCCAGTTCACTTCAGCAGTACACTGGAAGACTCCTTTCTCTCTTGGCTTGTGCTTCCAACTGAGTTCTCTGCTTCTTATTAATAGGAAATTATTTATCCTTGATTTATCACATTACTTATCTGGAATTAATTATCCTTTCCCATCACTTTAGAATACTGCTCTGGTCTGTGGCCATGTGGTTTCACGATCTGATGTTTAAAGGGTTTTTCCAGTTACAGCCTCCTCATCTACCAAGAACAAGACTGATGGTTTCAGGCATTCAGGTGCTGATCAAATAAATCAGGAAGTAACAGCACATACTAGGACAGGACTTCATGCTTCCAGCCATTTAAGTTGTTTTTTACTTTACGTTAAATATGCTGCTCTTTGTTAGGCCTCTGTATGTGTTTTACATGAGTAAAATGGTCTTTAGTGAAACCAAAGCCGGCGTTTTACCTCACCAGCTGGTCCCTGATACAGCTAATCAAGAGAGTGTTTCTTCCACTTCACATGAAGAATCTCTACAGCCTCCTGCTGTTGGAAAACATTTTTTTTTTTTTCTCGTTTCTCAGGCCAGTTGTTGCTGAAATACATCCTAAAGCCACTGATTTTGTACCCGTCTCTTCAGCCATTCACAGAGGAACAGCCGGATGTCTTCATCCTACGGTTTAAGTCTGAGGAGCTCACCTTGGATCAGTCCTCTCCCATAGAGGTTTTTGACAAGATCAAGCTTATTTTTGAAGTTCTCCACAAGTATCTGCTGAGTAGGTAGTTTCTCCCTGTTGGACGGTACCTTGTTGGTGTAGCCGGAGCGGAAGCTTTCCAGACTGGTTGTTACGCAGTACTGAATCGTGTGTGAGGTCTAAGCAGCTTTTAATGTTAACTTGCTATGCTGTGCCCGTGGCACCTTGTCAGACCAGACTTAGCAGTGAGCCAGCATTTGCAGAGCTGGGAAGATGAAGGAGGAGAGTACTTTGTCTCAAAGGGATCAAGGAATTAATTTTTTGATAAATGTTTTTTCTTGAGAACCGGTCACTGCCTTGAAGATCTTTGCGTGCCGCGGGTCTACCAGGTGGAAATCGTGAGGCAGTGCAGGGAGTTCCCTCAGTCAGGCTGGTCACCTGCAGGATCTGCCACGGGCTACAAAGTGCCCTGGGCTGGGCTGGCATGTCACGAAAGAAACACGCTGGGAAAGCAGGCTCAGTTTGCACATGAATTTGGTTGTCTTTCGGTTGGGTGGGTGATTCCACAGGCCCAGGACAGGCCCTGGATAAGAAGAACACCCCCGTTTTAGGGTTATGGAGCAGTTGGTAGATGCAGTTCTGACAGGAAGGACTGAATGAACTGCTGAAGGGTCTGGTCCAGGAGGCAGGAGCATTCAAATCCATTTCTGTTCTCTTGAATTCAGATGTGCCTCTTGAGCAGCCTGCGGAAGATAAAAAGGATTGCAGAGTTATGCTCGCAGAACTGCTGGGTGATATGATATGGGAAGAGTTATCAGACTGCCTCATTCAGAACTGTCTGGTGAATTCAATCCCAACCAATAGCAGCAAGCTAGAGCAGTACATAGAGGTAGGTCTCACACATCTTTCGGCTCCATGTGGAAATGCCAGATGGCCAGCTTGAACAAAAAGCTGTCTTTTGCTAGTCTAGAACTGTGTATTTCTCTGAGTGAAGCTGCGGCTTGTGTTTCCTGTCACGTAAAGTATGCAAGGTCTCTGATCTGTGGAACTCGGGCCATGTTTAACCAAGAGCTGGAGGCTTTCGGGGTCCGCGAGAGGTCTCTGTGAGAGGCGGAAGCTGACAGTGTGGCAGAGCCGCGTGCCCAGCTGCCTGCCTGAGGATGGATTGCTCTGTTTCTGTTGTTAATGATCACAGGGGTTTCTTGCATAGGCCACGTAATTTTTTTGTAAAGCTACATATCTAAACCAGAACCTGCTGCTAGTGAAGGATGCCAAAAGCTCCTTTTCCAGGAGAAGGGGCTGTTGCAGAGGGAAGCAGTCCTGCAATAAACCTCCCAGTCCCTTTGTTCCAGGTGGTTCAGTGTAATGAAATTTAATCACCTTGCTCCACTGGTTTTTGAATTGGGTTGCCAGCACAGTCAGGGGGGACAAACCTGCAGTTCAAACACTGTTATTGTGTGATCACAGCCCCCAGCTGAGCCGGCTTTTCCCAAAAGATTGAAAAGGCATTGGATGGTTAGTGCCCTCTAAAACCTAGTTTCCTCCTTTGCTTTCAGCTGCGTGGAAGAGCTTACACCCAACTTTAATATTGTCCTTTGACTTCAGGAAGCTATGTTAATGTGGAATATGTGTCCGCTCTTCTCAGGTTATTAAATCCACAGAGGAATTTGAAAAAGCCTTGAAGAACATGCAGTTTTTGAAAGGAGACACGACTGATTTACTAAAATACGCCCGTAATGTCAATTCTCACTTTGCTAACAAGAAGTGCCAGGATGTGATTG